ACAGATAAGATCGGGTAATTACAGAGTACCATAGAAATAACGGAATCTCAATTCACATGGTGCATGCCCACACGCCCATCACCTAGCATGTGCATCACCTCAACACCAAACACATAACACGTATAATCAGGGTTCATACCCTCAGCTCCAAGTTTAGAAGTGTTACTTACCTCGCACAAGCCAATTCCAATACCGAGTAAGCCAAGCGATGCTCCTAAAATGCCATATCGTGCGTACCGACCTCTGAACGGCTCGAAACTAGCCACAAGCAACTCAAATATATCAATTAACACCAAAGGAAACAAACTCAATCGATAAAGATCGAATCTTTAATCAAAAGCCCAAAATTGACCCAAAAGCCCAACCTAGGTATGTGCCTCGGAACTCGACGAAACATACAAAATTCAACAATCCAATCAATTACGAGTCCAATCATACTAGTTTCACTCAAATCCGACTCCGAATCGACATTCAAAACTCAAAAACTCACTCTATGAAACTTTAGGCTAAAATATCCAATTTTCTCTTTAAAACTCATAATCCAATTACCAAAAATGAATATAAAATCACGAAATATAATCAAAACCGAGGGTAGAACACTTACCCTAATCCCTATGATAAAATTTACTTCCAAAATCGCCTCAATCCGAGTCCCACATCTCAAAATATGATAAAAGAACCAAACCTCAATTTTTATAACTTCTGCCCAGCAGTTTCCGCATATGCGGTCCCAATGTCGCATTTGCGACCACCTCTTTTGCGGTAAACACCTCGCACCTGCAAGAATTCAATGAAGACCAGCCCATCACACCTGCGGAATTTCTCCGCTTCTGCGCACACGCAAGTGCGATGACCACGTGCACTTCTGCTCCCCACACCGCTTCCGCGGCTGAAACCTCGCATCTGCGCGCATGTAGGTGCGCTACCAAACTTCGTTTCTGCGGTGCTCCTCACCAAGCTCTCCCTCGCTTCTGCATCTGCATCCATTCTTCTACAGATGCGAAGCACCAAAACCAGCATACATTCAGTAATGTAACATGAAACGCAAATGATCTGAACCTCGTCTGAAACTCCCATGACGCAGCACAGAACTACTCGAGGCCTGAAATCACACATAACAACATCGAAACGATAAATCGCACCTCCAATCGACTTAAATGAACTTCGAACTTTCAACTTCCAAAACTTACGCCGAAACATATCAAATCAACTCGGAATGGACTTAAATTTTGCACATAAGTCCCAAATGACATAACGAAGCTATTCAAATTCCTAGAACCACAATCCGAACCTGATATCATCCAAGTCAACTCCCGGTCAAGCTTATGAACTTACAAAACCTTCAAATTTTTAACTTTTGCCGATTAGCGCTGAATTCTTCTAGAAATATCCAAATGGAAATCCGGGCATACGTCCAAGTCCAAAATCATCATCCGTAATTAAAGGAACCACCAAAACTCTATTCCGGGGGTCAATTTCACAAAAATCAAACTTGGTCAACTCTTCCTACTTAAAGCTTAAACCATGAAATTCATTCTTCCAAATAGATTCCGAATAACCTGAAAATAAAAACCGACAATTCGCATAAGTCATAATACATCATACAGAGCTACTCATGCCATCAAACTACCGAGCAAAGTAGAAATACTCAAAATGACCAGTCAGGTTGTTACAGTAGATGTCACAAATATGACCTGAGGTTCGTAAATGAAAACCCCGAAAATACGACAAGTACATCGCAACTGCGATGCCTACTGAACACATGGAATGTTGCAAATGCGACACTGACTTCGCATTTGTGAAGTCAGACCCCTTTGCAAAAGCGGTCAATTGGTCGCAAATGCGACCTGCCCAGCCCCAGACCCCTTTTCGCATTTGCGATGCTAGTTTCGCAAATGTAAAACTTGCCATCCTGTTGTCCCCTTCGCAAATGCGATAGCTATTTTACAAATGCAGTACTTGCAAATGCGAACTGATGCTCGCATTTGCGATAATTGCAGCACTAGCACACCAGTTGCTATGAAATAAGTCCAAACCAATCCAAAACACGTCTGAAACTCACACAAGCCCCCAGGGATCCACACCAAACATCCACACAAATCTAAAAATTTTATATGAACTTGATCGCAATCTCAAAAAACCAATATAAAATCCACAACAACGAATCGAACAACAAAAAAATAGAAATTACAATGAAATTGAAGAATCGCTAAAATCACAACCATGCGTCTAATTCCTACCAAATCAACCGGAATGACACTAAACTTTGCAGACAAGCTCCAAATAATAAAATAGACCTATTCCAAGTCTAAAAATAAAAAAAATCCGAACCCGATAACCAAAAAGTCAAAGCATGGTCAAATTTAGAAAATTTATAATTCTTCAAATGCCAACTTTTGCCAAAAAGAGCCCAATCAACCTAGGAATCTCCAAATACAAATCTAGCCTAAGTCCAATATCACCATACAAACCTATTGGAATCATCAAAACATGAATCTGAGACCGTTTACACAAAAGTCAAACCTTAGTCAACCCTTCCAACTTAAAGCTTCTAAAATGAGAATAATTCTTCAAAATAAATATCGAACAACTTGAAAACCAAAACCGACCATACATGCAAGTCGTAATACATCACATGAAGCTACTCACAATCTCAAACCACTGAACGGAAATGCATATATTCAAAATGACCGGTCAGGTCGTTACACTTAAGGTTGGCCAAAAACTCAAATTGACCATAGCGAGTCCTGAAAGCAGTATTTGAAATGTCTGAATCCCTAATCTTCAGCTGATGATACCCTAATCTCAAATCAATCTTCGAGAATACTTGAGCACCTTGAAGTTGGTCGAACAGATCATCAATACATGGTAGTGGGTACTTGTTCTAGACTGTAACTTTCTTCAGCTGCCTGTAATCAATACACATCCATCTTTCTTCTTCACAAATAGAATTGGATCACCCCAAGGTGAGACACACGGTTGGATAAAATCCTTATCAAGCAACTCCTGAAGTTGTTCCTTTAATCCAATCAACTCCGTTGATGTCATACGATATGGTGGAATAAAAATGGACTGAGTGTCCGGCACCAAGTCAATAGCAAAATTGATATTCCTATCGGACAGCATGCCCGGTAGGTCTGCGGAAAACACATCTGAAAAATCTCTCTCTACCGAAACTGACTCAACAGTAGGGGTATCAGCACTAACATCACTCACAAAGTCTAGATATGCTTAACACCTCTTCTCAACCATTCGTTGTGCCTTCATAAAGGACACGACCTTGCTAGGAATATAATCCAATGTACCTCTCCACTCCAAACGCGGCAACCCTGGCATAGCTAATATCACGGTCTTGACGTGACAGTCCAGAATAGCATGATAGAGCGACAACTAGTACATACCCAAAATCACGTCAAAGTCTACCATACTGAGTAGCTAAAGGTCAACTCTGATCTCACAACCACCGATAGTGATCAAACAGGACAGATTCAGGACACTATGATAAGATTGTACTCTTCATACTTGTCTGAATGCACATTTAATGTTGACACGATAACGTTAAATAGTTATGTTATTTTGTTCCCTATATATTATTTCATATTCAAGAGCATTGTGGTATGTATTTTAATTCAAGTGGAGAAACATAAAGCAAAAAAACCAAGGATTTTGAAACCTCAAGCTTTCTCTTTTGCAAATGTGAAGCTCAAATAAGAAATTGAATAAAGACAAGTTGTATGCCTAGCTTCTCTTGTTAATCAGTAACCATATCCTAATAGTTCGAAAGGGAATAATGTTTGTGATAATCACGTATTGCCACGTAAAATTACTCTAAAACTTAGTCTCTAACCGTGAACTAGGAAGTATAAGATATATTATCAGGTCCATTATTCTGAAATTCGACAAAGAAAACCCACTATAGGTCGAATCATTATTCATTATCCATCCCCAAATTGAGCCAACGATGAAGGACTACAATGAGAATTACCATCATAATTTTTTCCTGCTCATGTCAAGTACTTAGGAGTTTCTACCACCTTATTTTCGATATAAAGTAGAAAATTGGCATATGCGGAAAACATGAGCTAAGCTCGGTATTCCCAACCATAGCCACTTTTTGTTCCTCGTGAGTACTCGATATTGTGGCAGTAATTTTACGCTTCTGAAAAGTAAAGCTCTCATCGCCATATATTAGGTAGGACTTCCTTGGAATTAACAGTCATGGTAAATTTACTTTCTAGTATAGGAAAGTAAAGCATGGTACATTTCAAATTATATCGATAAAATACAAAAATAATTACCCATGTTTTGCAATGTTACACCTGTAAGTGATTTCTTCTCTTCTTTTTTTGGTATCTACTTCTGATTCCTTTATTTGGCTTTTTTTTTTTAAAACTTGAATCTTGTAGAAGATTTAAGAGGCAATTAGAGGTGATCTTGAGTTTCAAAGGAGTTTCGACATGGGTAAAATTGTTGCTATAATGGGGTTTGATTTTGGAATGAGAATAGTCATTCGTCTAGTGGTGGAGTATATCTTTTTCATCTACGTTCCACCATTCGATATCTAGGTTACTTTCTTCCTTCACTCTTTTATTATAGTCTACTTTTCATGCATGATTATTCTGTGCATCGACACTTCATGCAATACCTTGCATTCTGCTCCCCAAGCAGAAGGAGTTCATTCGGCTTTTATATGAAATATAAATAGAGATATACCTAAGATACACCACGTAATTGTCCCGATAAATAAGTTTCCATCTTAACCTTTACGGGTGTTTCAATATCATCTGATACTTCTTCGGACTGAATTTTTACACCCTTTTAAGCCTTCCCCCAGACATGTTGTGCATAACCACAAATGGGCGTATTTATCACTTTTATGTAATCGTAAAATATTTTAAAAAATATTATCAGCTCTAATTAAATCCCCAACGGTAATATTTCCTTTTCATCCAATTAAATATCCAACCCGCACCATTTTTCTTCTTCTATCATGCCTACCTCAAGAAACCCTAATTTGTTTTTCTGCCAATCAGCCATAATTGTTGTTCAAGATTGGATTTTAAAGGCAAAGGTAGGTAAGTTTTTTGATTTGGGTAATTTTCAGTATGTTTCTACTCAAATTCTCCCTTTTTACTCTTTTGTTTGAAACCTACAGGGAGGATATACAATGCCTTCGAAAAGATTGACTAAGCTTTGTATGGAAGAGGACGATCATGCATCTACAGAAAAGTGCGATGCAATCATGGATATTTGCTGCCATTTTAATCTCTTGGGCCCCTAGGAATCTTGGTAGAAGGTATTGGGCTTGTCCATACTATGAGGTAAGTTGATTTGATTTCTAAGATTAATTTAGTTAATAATTGAACAACTCAACACTGAAATACAAATTTTATGGTTATTTATAATAGGATGCTCGAGCATGTGATTTTTGGCATTGGAGGGATGGTGAAATTGACCATAGATCAAAGTTTGTTATTCCTAAATTGAAGAAAGAGATCGGAAAACTTGAGAGCCAAGGTGAAGCGTTTGAAAAACTTGACAATCTAACGGCAACAAAGAAGGATGAACATGAGATTGGTAAGATAGGTATTCAACTAGATTAACTGGAAACTGAAGTTGAGAAGATGAAAGAAAGAGAGAAGAAATGGAGGAGCAAAGCTGCTCAATCAACAAAGAGGGAGAATTTTCTTTGGTTTATCATTTTGTGTTGTGTTATTATCGGCATTAGTACTAGGTTTCAAGTGTTGTATTTGAAGGATGATGGAATGAAGTTTGTCATAGGCTCTTTGTTTTATACATTTGGTGAAACTGTTGAACATAGTTGGTGTAGGATTAGTTGTATTAAATGTTGGTTAATACCTTTTGTAAATAATTTTTTTATTTTTTGGAATGAATTTGGTGCTTGTTTGACTCTAAACTATTTTTGTTTATGCATCTTGAATCAGTAGAATTGCAGTCTACAATTGTACATTGAAGGAATACAATAAATACAAATTTATCCCAAAATTGCAGTCATTGCTTCTCCTTAATAATAGCATCCATTAGTTACCATAAAAACAATGGTAATTGTTCCAAGCATAGGAGTCACAACTGCATAAATAAAGTGCAATCACAATTGTCCAAAATATATGCAATAACATAATTGCAATCACAACTGCTAACATAAAAAGAATACCTAAATATAGTCTAAGCTGCATAACTGTACAATATAAAAGTTTCAGACTAATCTACCAAGTACACATGACATTTGTAAGGTATCCAGGTATGTATTGTTGAACTTTCTTGACCCAACTGTGCAGCCTTAGTCTTGTTTGGATGACCTTCTTTCCTCTCATCTGCTGGAGTTGTCTTTTAGTCATAGTTGCTTTCCCTTTCCACTTCACTCCAGTTGATGGTGTGTGCCCAATATCTCCAGTGATATCTCTTGAATATATAACATTTCTTGGCATACTAAAAAGGTATTCCAGACTGTTAAAGAAAGATAAAAACTAGTCAGTTTTAACAGATAGTACCACTTAGCTTAGATATTCTATAAAAGATAATAAGACTTACATTATGGATAGTTAAGCCTCTTTCTCTTTGCAGCATCCCCATTCCAATCATTATGGGTATTTAGTAGGGTCTTGACTCATTGGTGGAACCTTTTGGTCTGCCCCTTCCTCTTCTAGTTTTTAGTGTTGCATTTGTTATAGAATCGTCACTTGGTGTTGCACTTGGTATAGAACTTCCACTTGGTGTTGCACTTGGTACAACATTAGAAGTTGTACTTTTGGTTATATGACACCCCCTCTTGTTATGGCCCTTTTTATTACATGCTCTACATGTCATCTCTAATCCTCTCCTAGACAATTTACCTGTTTTATTTTCAGTTTGCTCCTTTCTTCTAACTTTCTTGGGCCTGCCTGGCATCTTTCTAACTTGTGGTGGAATAACAAATATATTTTGGGAGTCTGGTCACATTGACATACCAGTCCGAATGAAATGAATATAGACTTTCATGTAAGGCTCTTTGGTATACTAGTGAGCAACATTGTTAAATGGCTCCAGGTTTTTGAAGTGAAGGGAAACTACAACATGGGCACATGGTATGCCTTTTAGCATCCAAGCTCTGCAAATGCATGTCATGATTTCTAAAGAAACCAAGTTCTTTAGATATTTAGTTTCCTTCACTTCATATCTTGTATCTCCATTTCATATAATGTTACACTTCATTGATTTGGCAGTATTTTCTTGTAAAACCTTCAATGTCATTGGTGAGATATCACATATCTAACTATTGGAAAATTCCCTCAATTGCCCAATTATGTTCATCATTTTTACTCTTATTTTATCAAGCATTGTTAAAATTATCTTGTGTCTTGGCTCTAATATCCATGAGTTAAAATTTTCTGCCATGTTGTTATCCACACTGTCACAGTTACTAAAAACTTAAAGAATACCTTAGACCATATTTCTTTGTTATACCACAACAAGTCATCAATAATTCTTTTACTACCTAATCTTTCCAAGAAGTCAAGATTCTTTCTCAACTCTGCCTCATAAGTGCTTCTAGCACATATCCAGAAATAATTTTTTTTTAATGCCTCTCCAATTCTTGGACCAATAGCTAGGATGTGTCTGGCACACATCCTATGTTCACAGTTTGGCAACACATCATCCATTACTTGAGATAATCCGGACTCAATAAGTAAATATCAGTACGACTTATGAAAAAGCAGAAGTAAATGAACACAAATGTAGCATTAAAAAGAAGAAAAATAATACAGAATACTAACCTTTTGCATTTCTGTTATAAATGTGAAATTTGTCTCATCTCCAAGTTCAAGGTCATCCCTCAACAACCTCATAAACTAGGTCCAAGTAAACTTGTTCTCAACTTCTACTACTACCCAAGCTAGTGGCAGCATCTGGTGTAGTTATTCTTACATACAACAACTAGCAACTGACCTTTGCAAATACCCTATAAGAAGCATCCATCCAACCCAATACAAGGCCTACACCCAGTCTTGAAAGCCTTCTTCAATGCGTCAAAACAAACGTAGAAGCCAACAAATATTTTTCTACCACCTCCAAAAAAATTTTCACTTAGTTTAACAGTACATGTACTACCAGGATTGGACATAAATATTTAATCTATATAGTCCAGTACATGGTCACCTATTATGTCACTCAAAACCTCCTAACATACAAACGTCATTCTTTTTTTAAAAGTTCTTGAAATTTGAAAATTCTAATGTTAGTTTGCTCTTTTATTCTATCTTTGAATTTTTCAGCCAAGTTATCACGATCCAAAATCCCCCCTTAAGGATCGTGATGGCACTTAGTCTGTAAAACTAGGTAAGCTAATCACGTACAACAGTTAAATCATTTAAACATGACATAATAAAGATGTGGTTTAATATAAATACAGAAATAAAGGTGATACAAGCCTACGCGATAATAATCACAATAAATTCCCCAAGACTAGGTAGTACAGAGTCAAAAACATTATTAAATACATAGATATAACTTAAAATACAATATTGTTCGAATAAAAAATAAGCAGTAATAATTTAAGGAACGGACTCCAAGAGAATGCGACGATCAAGCAGCTCTACCTTGAATCCTCGTGATTAAGAAGCTCTCACTGCCTGAATTTGCTAGCTCCAATACCTGGATCTGTACAAAAATATACAAAAGTGAAGCATGAGTACAGTACGGTCAATACCCAGTAAGTATCAAGACTAAGCTCGATGGAGTAGTGACGAGGTTCAAGTCAAGACACTCACTAATCAAGTAACCTGTGTAATATATCAGTATAAAGCTAACAACGGAAAGCAAAATAAATAAATGGCAACAAAGAGTAATCATGTGATAAAATAGCAAAATAATCAAAGTATAGATAAAATACAAGTGAAAGCAATTAAGGAAAAGCAATGACAGTTCTGATCATCAAACCATTTCTCACAGGATTTACAACAAGAGTCATCCCGAGGCACCACATCTCATAATCACCAATCGCAAGTCACAAATCACAAATCTTATACACATGGCACCCCGTGCCCACATTAATAATCACCCTCGCATGGAAAAGACCTCGTGCCACAACATAATACATACCCTGCACAGTAAAGGACTTGTGCCACAATATTAGTCACAACTGCATGGACAACTCCCGTATTGCACAGACAACTCACGTATCAATACCACAATCTGCCCGATATGGTCACATGCTTCCTGTTCAAATCATATCGCAGAGAAAGCATATATACAAGAATACATGTACATGATCAGTGAACATCAAGTTTCATCCTCCTAGACTGATGTAAATGACATATTATGGTGTATGTATGTGCAAGTGTACTATCACAGCTCAAATCATCAAGTAATATCAGAGACACCGAGTAGCACACTGGGAACAACACTCCTATTTCATCAACAACACGCCCCAGACCATGACATAATATCCCCATATAGTCACCATTATCTCACCGTGTTGACAATATCATAATAGCCACTCGTATCGCTCCGCCCAGACAATATATCAATAGCGACATGTATCGCCCTGCTATGACAATAACACAATAGCCACATGTATCACTCCGCCAAGACCATAACACAATAGCACCCGTATTACTCTACCCAGACAATAACACAATAGCCACACGTATCATTCCATCTAGACAATAACACAATAACCACCCGTAGTACTCCGCCCAGACAGTATATCAATAACCACATGTATCGCTCCGCACAATCAGCAAATAGTAAAATGCCACCCTTATACTCTGCACAATAACAATCAATCCCCATAACATGTCCACAGATGCCATAATATTTCCAAAATAATAATATCAATATTACAATAAAGCATAGCCCACGACTCAATAACTATGTATACAAGAATTTGAACAATAACAAAATGAAATGAAAAATAACTCGATAATTAAAGATATTCCATATAACAACAACTTTAATTAAAAGCATGTTAGTAACCTAAGAGTTTAAACCGTTCAATTTCCACATATAATCTAGGATACACACTTGTCACCTCGTGCACACATCTTTCATATAATTCAAGCAATGCAATTAAATCAAATCCCACGGGATTATTTCTATAAGGACCCCATCAGTCGTTTTGAGATGTCATATTCTGTTCAGTGGTTCAAGATCTTGATCGGCTTCATATTGTGTATTATTACTTGTGTTTATGATCGGATTTGATTTTCGGATGTTTTGGGATTGATTTGGATTAGTTATTCTCATTTTGGAAGCTTAAGTTGGAAATATTGACCGAGATTTGACATTTGTGAAGACGATTCCGGAACGGTATTTTGATGGCTCCAATAGGTTCGTATAATAATTTTGGAATTAGGCATATGCCAAGGAATTGAACGGAGGTCCCTAGGTTGATTTGGCATGCTTTGTCAAAAATTGGCAATTTGAAGGCTTAGAAATTTCTTAGGTTTGACTATGATTTGACTTTATAGATATCGGGTTCAAATTTTTATTTTGGGACTTGGAATAAGTCCGTTTTGCTATTTGGAACTTGTTTGTAAAGTTTGGTATCATTCCGAGTTGATTTGATAGGAATCAGACGCGTGGTTGTGTTTTTAGAAGTTCTTGAGTTTCAATATTAATTTTGAAGTTCATGGTTCCGAATGTTATTTTAATATTTTGATCACGCGAGTGAGTT